GCCGGGGGGTGACGGGCCCGGGGACAGGGCCGGGGGGTGACGGGCCCGGGGACAGGGCCGCGACGGGCCTCCACACCCAGCCGCCGCCATCTGTTTTTTAAAGAATTTTTTTTGTTACTTCAAAACTCAAACTAGAGTCGAAAATGGTGGTGTGTTCACCCTTTTACAGGAATATCAAACGTTAGTGACTAAATAAACTACACATTGAAAATCGCTAATTTAAGTGAAGAAAATGGTGGGGGGATATTTATCAACGACCCAGGGGCCAGATTCACGAAGCCGTTACGCAAGCACTTACGAACCTGTCCATCTTTTCTGAACCTTTGGCGGCTTCCTAGAGCCAGCTTGATTTTGTATGTTGTTCTTGTGCAATGAAAACATGGAATCGCCTCAATTCGCATTAATAACCGTGATAGTTCTAATTTAACAACTGCTTTTGTTTTTTTCATTTGTTCAAAGATGGAGTCCCACACCCCATTATATAATTCCCATACCCCAAGTTAAGAACGCCTGCCTTAACACTTTACCAACACAAGAGGTAGAAGAGCACAAGAGGAAGACGACCACAAGAGGAAGAAGCGCTCGACAGAAGAGCACAAGAAGTAGAAGAGCATAAGGCGTTGTCGCTGAGACCAGGAGGTGGTTATCAGGAACTTCACGCCTGCCATAGATGGCGACCCCCGGAGGTCTTAGGGCGTCTCACCAGACGCGGGCTGCCTCTACTGGCCAGCGCCCTCTACTGGCCAGCGCACTCTACTGGCCAGCTGCCTCTACTGGCCAGCAACCTCTACTGTCCAGCAACCTCTATTGGCCAGCGCCCTCTACTGGCCAGCTGCCTCTATCTGGCCCCTGGCCTCTACTGGCCAGCAACCTCTACTGTCCAGCAACCTCTACTGGCCAGCGCCCTCTACTGGCCAGCTGCCTCTATCTGGCCCCTGGCCTCTACTGGCCAGCGCCCTCTACTGTCCAGCAACCTCTACTGGCCAGCGCCCTCTACTGGCCAGGGGATAGATTCACGAAAGGACTTACGCAAGCACTTACGAACCTATACATCTTTTCTCAATCTTTGGCGGCTTTGTTTACAATTATTAAACAGTTAATGAGCTCCGAAGCACCAGGAGGCTGTTTATAACAATAACAACAGTTGAATGGGAAGTTTTCATGCTTGTAAACTGTTTAATAAATGTAACCAAAGCCGTCAAAGATTGAGGAAAGATGTTCACGTTCGTAAGTGCTTGCGTAAGTGCTTTCGTGAATCTGGCCCCAGCGCCCTCTACTGGCCAACACCTCGCTGGAGCTGGCCACACCCGCACTCTCAACTAATAGGTCACGTTTTGTACGTTAAGGTAATCACCGATACAAATACAAGCTATTATGAATCGTAACGGTCACAAATATCGACGTTTTCTATGCATCGGGGTGACAGATTAGGTGGGTTGCTTGGGTTACTACGTTTCTGGTTAGATTGGATTGTTGTTTACAGAGTGGCAAATCACGAGAACGTGTTGGCTTGCGTATTGGACGGGATTGTCGCATTGATTGTCACTTGCTTCGCTAAACGAACTGTTTGATTCAGTTCCTGAGCGGATTGTGTGCCTCTGTAACCCTTTCCACCACCGCCCACGGGATGGGTATGGGGTCCATAATAAAGAAATTAAATAATAATAATTAATGAAATGGTAAGTTTACAGTTAGTTTACAGTAAGTTTAAAGTTACAGTTTATCAGCGTAAACTGTAACTTTTTATCAAGCATTTACCGACTCTTCAACTCTACATATGCATCATAATATATATATTATATATACTATGTATATATTATATATTATATACATAATATATTATATACATAATATATATATTATATATATTAGTCCATTAGGAAATTGTCTATTGCTCCCCTTATATTACTGTCATAAATTAATGTCTTATCCACCTCTTTGATGGTTTTACTGTTAACTCTTCACATATACCAGCTGCCTCACTACAGGTTACTTGATAGTGGATTGGTTGTACCTGGACGGGGTTCTGGAGTTCTCCTACTCCCCCCCTCCATTCCCAAGCCCGGCCCCTTGACTTGAGAGAGCTTGGACCAACAGGCTTTCCAAGTGCCTCCTTCACACCTATCAATGTAATCCCTGCAAACTCCGTGAGGATGCAGGCGATGAGTCACAATAAATTGGCTGAAGTATGTTGACCAGACCACACACTAGAAGGTGAAGGGACGACGACGTTTCGGTCCGTCCTGGACCATTCTCAAGTCGATTGTGTTTTGTGACTCGATCGAGTCACAAAAAGCGATCCGTTTTGTGACTCGATCGAATCACGAGATTGTGACTCGATCGATCAAGTCCATTCTCACAATCGACTTGAGAATGGTTCAAGACGGACCGAAACGTCGTCGTCCCTTCACCTTCTAGTGTGTGGTCTGGTCAACACCGTGATGATTTAAGAGCTGTGGTGTTGAAGATGAATGTAAGACTTTTGTGTATTTCGTTACAGCAGCAGGTGGAGAGGTTTGATCAGGATGCCCCGCAAGCCCAGACTCCCTACACTAGCCGCCTACCTTCTCCTCCTGAGCCTTGGCCTCCTGCTGTATGTGTCGGCCCGGGGCTCCGAGGACGACCTCGCCGATGTCCGGGGCGCTGAGGTCGGCAGTCAGGGCGGGACCGGAGAAGAGCACTCCGTTAAGACCCGAAGCATCAAGTCCAACAAGAGAAGAGGAAGGACCAAATCACTACCAGCTAATCCCCATGATTTCCACATGATGATTAACAATGCCAACATATGTGGGAGTGAGAGCACGGTGGGTGTGGCTGGTGGTGCTGGTTCTCTAGGTGTAGGTGTAGGTGGTGGTGCTGGTTCTCTAGGTGTGGCTGGTGGTGCTGGTTCTCTAGGTGTAGGTGTAGGTGGTGGTGCTGGTTCTCTAGGTGTAGGTGTAGGTGGTGGTGCTGGTTCTCTAGGTGTGGGTGGTGGTGGTGCTGGTTCTCTAGGTGTATGTGGTGGTGGTGCTGGTTCTCTAGGTGTGGGTGGTGGTGCTGGTTCTCTAGGTGTAGGTGGTGGTGGTGCTGGTTCTCTAGGTGTGGGTGGTGGTGCTGGTTCTCTAGGTGTAGGTGGTGGTGGTGCTGGTTCTCTAGGTGTGGCTGGTGGTGCTGGTTCTCTAGGTGTATGTGGTGGTGGTGCTGGTTCTCTAGGTGTGGCTGGTGGTGCTGGTTCTCTAGGTGTGGCTGGTGGTGCTGGTTCTCTAGGTGTGGGTGGTGGTGGTGGTACCACTGTTTACTGTTTGTGAAAGTGAGAGTTGTCAAGGCGGGGAGTGGGGGGTTGGGGGGGGGGGGGGTAGGCGCTCCATTTAAGCACCATCCCAGGTTCCCAAGGCCTGGTGTACGGGTGTGTGGTGGGGCTTCCACCACCACACACCTACTAGTGTGGTGTTCCCTCCACCACCACACACACCCGTACGCCAAGCCCTGAGAACCTGGGATGGGGCTTAAGTGGAGCCCCCCTAGCCCCATCACCACTCGCACTTCCACAGTGTCTTGAACCACTGAATGCCTATCCTTAAGTGGAGCGGTTCTTTAGGTGGGTGGATGCGGAATTCTGTAGTGGGTGTTGAGCAGAGGAGCTGCTATGGGTCAAATCGTTCACAAGACTATTCGACAAAGCTCGTTTTCTGTTTGTTAAAAAAAATGTTAGGATGCTTTAGATTAGGTTATTATGCGTTAGGGTTGGTAGGGTTAGGTTATCTTGAGGTTATCTTGAGATGATTTCGGGGCTTTAGTGTCCCCGCGGCCCGGTCCTCTATCAGGCCTCCACCCCCAGGAAGCAGCCCGTGACAGCTGACTAACTCCCAGGTACCTATTTACTGCTAGGTAACATGGGCATTCAGGGTGAAAGAAACTTTGCCCATTTGTTTCCGCCTCGTGCGGGAATCGAACCCGCGCCACAGAATTACGAGTCCTGCGCGCTATCCACCAGGCTACAAGGTTAGGTTAAGTTTATGTAGGGTAAGATTAGGAACGTTGTAAAACCCGATGTATCGTCTTGTATCGCCAGCCAACGTGATACAAGCGGTAACTAAACAAATCACAGACAAGTCAAATGTACATTAAAAATCATATAAGTTGATATAAGCGATATAATAATGTAATAGATAGTGGTAGCGCGGTGACGCAAGGTGGCAGGTGGCCCTTCATCAATTCTCGGACGAGCTCACCTAATCAGTCAGGCAGTCACGTGACCAAGCATGTGTTCCTCCTGTAAGGCATGGTGGTGACTGGGTGAGAGAGCGGGTACAAGTGTGGGTACGTATGTGGGTGTGAGAGCGGGTACAAGTGTGGGTACGTATGTGGGTGTGAGAGCGGGTACAAGTGTGGGTACGTATGTGGGTGTGAGAGCGGGTATGTTTAGTTCATTTATTATGCACTCCATTACCCATCTTGTGGGCAGTAGTGGAAAGGGTTACAGAGGCACATAATGGGCTCAGGGACTGAACCCCACAATTCATTTAGCTAAGCAAGTTACAATCTTGATGAACTAGTTACAAAAGTCAATGTAAGTCGTCACATCAACAATGGGTTCGAGATTTACCACAAGTACAGTTTCTAAATTATGCAACGATATTAGCGATAACTTTGTTACTTTGATATTTGGGTCAAAGTTTTAAATGGAGGTGGGGTTTCCTCCTTTTCCCCCTTGTTTCTTTTTTGCTTCTGTTTTAGCGCACTGGTTTTAGTCTTGTTTTAATAATATTATCTTGGTGGCGGATGTAGATCCACAGTGTTCACTAGTGTGTTCCATTCCTCAACTGCCTTTCTAATCATTGTAGTCGCTGCTATAACCCTTGTTGTTATAGATTCAGCTACTCGGAACAAGTTCCAAGTAGCACGGGCTATGGTGAGCCCGTAGTGGACTTACCTGGCACAGGAGCGGTGCTGTGTGGCACGAATAGCCCGTGTGCTATAACCCATCGTAGGATTTCTTTATAACATAATAGGGAGAGCAGGTGGGGTGATGTGTTATATGCGGGTCGGGTCCCCATTGCCTCCGTTAAGGGGGATCGGCCCCATGGTACCTTCAAGAAGTCAGTGAAGATGATAATCACGTGTTTAGCAGTATCCAGGGGATTCCAACCCTTTCCGCCTTGTGGGGTCGATCCAGAAAATGTCGGGTAACTCATCTAGTCATATATATATATATATATATATATATATATATATATATATATATATATATATATATATATATATATATATATATATATATATATATATATATACACACAAAAATGATGTGTATTGCGTCAGTATATCACTATATGTATATTTGATGTGTTAGAAGTGAACCTCGTGTCAGTATTAGAGGCGAGTTTCAAGAGCGTGTTTGTATAGCGTTACAGTAATGGATTGTTACAGGTGTGTTACAATGGATTATTACAGGTGTGGCTGCTGGTGCTGGTGAGCTCGTCAGTGGGCAACTTCCACCGTCGGCGGGCCATCCGGGACACGTGGGGTGGCGCCAACCCCCTCGCTGCCTCGCACGCCAAGCTGGCCTTCCTCCTGGCCAACCCCCATGACACCCGCCTCCAGACTCAGGTGAGGCAGCCACGTCTCTCTAACCTTTCATACGCGAATACAAGTTCCATTACCCCAGCTTGTCACAGCGTCCACTCCACAACAGGTGGTGGACGTTGCAATCCTTTTGACCCTGTCGTTTCCTAGCGTGTGTGCTTGCGAGTACCTAGAGCATAGGTTCGAATCCTCCCTTCCCCCATGACGGTTCCTGCTGATTTTCTCAGGTGGTGGAGGAGTCGAGGACCTACGGCGACATCCTGCAGGAGGACTTCGTGGACTCGTACATGAACTTGACCCTCAAGTCTGTGATGGGACTCAAGTGGGCGTCGACGTACTGCCAGCAGGCGCACTTTGTCATGAAGACTGACGACGATATGTTTATTAATATTCCCAAGCTCATCACCTACCTCCAGGAAGCTAGAAGGTCCCGATGGATCACAGGTGAGTCATGGTACTTAGCTCGTAGGTCACAGGTGAGTCAGGGTACCTAGCTCGTAGGTCACAGGTGAGTCAAGGTACCTAGCTCGTAGGTCACAGGTGAGTCAAGGTACCTAGCTCGTAGGTCACAGGTGAGTCACGGTACCTAGCTCGTAGGTCACAGGTGAGTCAAGGTACCTAGCTCCTAGGTCACAGGTGAGTCAGGGTACCTAGCTCCTAGGTCACAGGTGAGTCAAGGTACCTAGCTCGTAGGTCACAGGTGAGTCAAGGTACCTAGCTCGTAGGTCACATGTGAGTCACGGTACCTAGCTCGTAGGTCACAGGTGAGTCAAAGTACCCAGCTCTCAGATCACAGGTGAGCCAACGTACCTAGCTCGTAGGTCACAGGTGAGTCAAGGTACCTAGCTCGTAGGTCACAGGTGAGCCAAGGTACCTAGCTCTCAGGTCACAGGTGAGCCAAGGTACCTAGCTCATAGGTCACAGGTGAGCCAAGGTACCTAGCTCTCAGGTCACAGGTGAACCAAGGTACCTAGCTCTCAGGTCACAGGTGAGCCAAGGTACCTAGCTCTCAGGTCACAGGTGAGTCAAAGTACCTAGCTCTCAGGTCACAGGTGTGTCAAAGTACCTAACTCTCAGGTCACAGGTGTGTCAAAGTACCTAACTCTCAGATCACAGGTGTGTCAAAGTACCTAACTCTCAGATCACAGGTGTGTCAAAGTACCTAGCTCTCAGGTCACAGGTGAGTCAATGTACCTAGCTCGTAGGTCACAGGTGAGCCACGGTACCTAGCTCGTAGGTCACAGGTGAGTCTTGGTACCTAGCTCTCGAGTCATATATGAGTCAAGGTCTCTAGATCTTAATTTACAGTAATGGCAGGTAAAATACTCAACATATTTGTTAATCTCAAAGAGTAATTAGCAGATCTCCTTATACAATATTTAGACACTCAACCCACAGACCTGAACATAAGTACCGTATTCTAATTTGTTGTGAAGTATAGCCAGGAGATACGAAAATATAATGATTCAAACAGGGTTATTAATATCAGTGAGGTATAACGAGGATATACTATACTATGCCACACATCTCAATATATTAGATGGAGCGGATGACCTTCGCAGACACGCATCTTGTAATATAAGATAATATAAGATACCAGTTATTTTGGTTTGTTGTTGTTGTTAAAGATTCGCTACCTGGAACAAAAAGTTCCAAGTAGCACGGGCTATGGTGAGCCCGTAGTGCCTTACTTTTAATAATTATTATTTTGGTACGATTCATCCTCTTAGTAGTAAGTAGCAACATCTTGCTAATTACCAATTCGTCACTTTAGTAAATTGAAACATCTTGCTAAATAGGAGCACCTTAGTAAGTTCAGAAAAAAAGGTCACAAGAAATTGGTAAGTTAGTAAGTTCCGTGAACTTCGTAGTGCTGATAACACAAGTCTTTCCATCAAGGTAACTCTCAAGTACATTCTCATCTCCTCAGAGGTCCCCATAGACACCACAACCTTATCTTTAATTTTAACTTTATCCTTAATTTATCTTATCTTTAAGTTTCAGGATTCATAGTATAGAGAACTAATGGTTTTTATCTCATGTCGGAGTAAAGCGTTTGTCAAGTTATATTTAAGAATTGAGACTGAAAGTGCACTTTGATTGACAGGATGCATCAAGCAGAAGAAGGCCTTCAGACCAGCGAACGCCCCCCCTGGGCTCCCGCTGCCCCCAGGACACCCCCCCTTCGTCGCTGGAGCAGGTATGTCTGTCTGTCTGTCTGTCTGTCTGTCTGTCTGTCTGTCTGTCTGTCTGTCTGTCTGTCTGTCTGTCTGTCTGTCTGTCTCTGTCTCTCTCTGATCGCTCAATTTATCAGAGCAATGCCAAGGAAATAGCTTCTTACAAATCCTTGGTAACTAAGAGTGTACTTTAATCAAGTAGCCGATATTAAAATGACATTTTTAATAATATATGAAACATTTGTTATGGATTATATTATCGTTAAAAATATTACAAGAGCATTTATTACATTGCATGTTTCTAGTTTCACCTGTTAAGACACTAATTCTGGCTACCTGTCCCCCTGTGACAATGAATTATTTTGATTATAAACTGTTGAGAAGAGAGAGAGAGAGAGAGAGAGAGAGAGAGAGAGAGAGAGAGAGAGAGAGAGAGAGAGAGAGAGAGAGAGAGAGAGAGAGAGAGAGAGAGAGAGAGAGAGAGAGAGAGGGGGAGGGAGAGAGAACAAGGTGAACTAAAAAGGGCGTGCCCCCCACCCTCAGGTTACGTCATGTCTGGAGACGTGGTGCGGGACCTGTATACCGCCTCCCTCAACACCCGCATCTTTCCCGTCGAGGACGTGTACGTCACCGCCCATCTGGCGCGCAGCGTGGGCGTCCACCCGCCCGTCCACGACACCCGCTTCACCTGTGGCGAGATGGTTAATGACGACTGTGATCTCGTGCAGGTAAGTTGCTGCCTCGTGTCAAATTATGACCTCGTGTAGGTCACTGTGTCATATGAGGTCACAGGCGACTTTGACCTCGTGCATATCAGTTTGTCAAGTGACGTGTGTGTGTGTGTGTGTGTGTGTGTGTGTGTGTGTGTGTGTGTGTGTGTGTGTGTGTGTGTGTGTGTGTGTGTGTGTGTGTGTGTGTGCATGGACAAGCTGGGGAGATTTCATCTTCCTGGGAAAAACACGTAATCACAGCATGTTTTAAGCATTATTGCAAAGTTGCATCAGCGTAAACGGGTAAACGGTGTGAAGACAGCGTTGTGGTTAGTGTGTGTGTGTGTGTGTGTGTGTGTGTGTGTGTGTGTGTGTGTGTGTGTGTGTGTGTGCTGGGGTAGGTCAATGCAATGATCAACCTCAACTTGCCACAGTATTGATGTTATTGATGACCAAACCCACACATCACAAGATGAAGAATCCACGACCTTTCGGTCTGTCCTGGACCATTCTCAAGTCGATTGTGACTTGAGAATGTGGTCCAGGACGGACCGAAACGTCGTCGTCCCTTCACCTTCTAGTGTGTGGTCTGGTCAACATACTTCAGCCACGTTATTGTGACTCATCACCTGCATTCTGACTCTTTCGTCTGCATTAATGTTATTGCCAATATTTCAGGTGTTCACGGGGCACAGGATCACCCCGGAGAGGATGTACCACATATGGGACAAGCTCAACCCCAATGGGATAACCAGCCCATGTTTCGACTTCTGATCGCGTCGCCTCACGCACCGTCTGGCGGAGTGCTTCATCGAGGATCGTTTCCCAGGCGTACCTTCACCTCTTGGGGGGGTTCAGTATCATCTTCGCCACAAGGGCTACGATTCGTTAAACATTTACGCATCCATCTGCGAAACCTGTATATCTTTCGATAATCATTTTGACTTTGTTTACATGTATTAAAAACAGTTTACGAGCTTCGAAACATGCCAAAGTTGACTATTACTATCAACACCCACCATTTGGTTCGGGAGACATCTCCCGTCACGCAGGGTGCAGTCGCGCCTCCACAGATCTCCAGTATCATCTATTGATACTGGTAATGGCTCAAAAGGGTCACCACTTACGGGCTATTCATGCCCGTGCCAACCTCTTGGGTGGCTTAATCTTTATCAATCTTTGTGAACACCCTCGTGTGTTTCCGAGCTCATAAGCTTTTCAATAAATGTAAACAAAGCCGCTATGAGTGTTGAAAGATGTGCAGGCTTTGTAAATGATCGTGTAAATGCGTGAACAATCGTGGCCCAGGCCTGCAGGTGACCAGTCACAGACTCACGTTAACAACCAAGGGAGACCCAGAAGGGGGGATGGAGGAGCCTAGCGGCAAACGACACCAATAATAAATACGGGCTCACCATAGCCCGTGCTACTTGGAACTTTGTTCCGGGTAGCGAGTCTTTAACAACAACGGTACCAATATAATACGAATTTTCCCCAACGAGAAATAATGTAAATGACCAGTGAAAAGCGCAAAGTCAGATAGACTATATACATCACTTGAAAGGGATATGAGGACGATGAAAGGAACGATACCCAACCGCTTGGGCAATCGGGGATCGAACCCCCAAACTGCAAGAAGACCGACGAGTCCAGGTACCAAACGAGAAGAAAATTGTAATTATTCTTACGACAAGTAAACACACAATTATGTACTAAGTTAGGTGGACTGTAGACGTGAACGTGAAGCTTTCTTGTCATACACTGTGATCTGAAGTGCCTTGGCAAGCTTACTTCATTAACATATCTTATTAACCCGTGTGTGTGTGTGTGTGTGTGTGTGTGTGTGTGTGTGTGTGTGTGTGTGTGTGTGTGTGTAATACACATGATACAATAGCCCAATTTTCTGTATATAAAGCTGTAGAGCAGGCATGAAGTGACAAGTGTCTAGTGTTAAACCAGTTCTGACAAGTAATGGTGTCACCATGAGACCAGTGCTACAAATAATATTTACCTCAGTGGCTCCCTGACAAGGTTATATATATATATATATATATATATATATATATACATACTAAAATTTACTTTTAATGTTACATAGGGTGTGGCAAGCACTGGCGAGCCAGATGTGATCATTTTATTAGCTTCTGTCAACATTGTAAATGCATGACGTTAGGGCAAGTCAGATGGGTCAGCATGAATGCACGAACACACAAGAATCGGGAGGATTTAACAGTTAAATTTGTGTTCAATAGCAGTGTTACATTTTGCGTTTCTGTCTTATCTGTCTGCTTGTCTCTGTCTTTTTCCCTTTTAGGTCTGGTTTAGACGGGTTCACAGACACACACCTGTCACTGAAGGGTCCAGCGCCTGGGTATACAACTACAACTTTCCACCCGTCTATGCCACGCCCCTCCACCCGTCTAAACCACGCCCCCTCCACCCGTCTAAACCACGCCCCCTCCACCCGTCTAAACCACGCCCCCTCCACCCGTCTATACCACGCCCCCTCCACCCGTCTAAACCACGCCCCCTCCACCCGTCTAAACCACGCCCCCTCCACCCGTCTATACCACGCCCCCTCCACCCGTCTATACCACGCCCCTCCACCCGTCTAAACCACGGCCCCTCTACCCGTCTATACCACGCCCCTCCACCCGTCTAAACCACGGCCCCTCTACCCGTCTATACCACGCCCCTCCACCCGTCTAAACCACGCCCCCTCCACCCGTCTATACCACGCCCCCTCCACCCGTCTATACCACGCCCCCTCCACCCGTCTAAACCACGCCCTTCCACCCGTCTAAACCACGGCCCCTCTACCCGTCTATACCACGCCCCTCCACCCGTCTAAACCACGGCCCCTCTACCCGTCTATACCACGCCCCTCCACCCGTCTATACCACGCCCCTCCACCCGTCTAAACCACGCCCTTCCACCCGTCTAAACCACGGCCCCTCTACCCGTCTAAACCACGCCCCCTCCACCCGTCTATACCACGCCCCCTCCACCCGTCTAAACCACGCCCCCTCTACCCGTCTAAACCACGCCCCTCCACCCGTCTAAACCACGCCCCCTCCACCCGTCTAAACCACGCCCCTCTACCCGTCTAAACCACGCCCCTCCACCCGTCTAAACCACGCCCCCTCCACCGTCTATACCACGCCCCCTCCACCCGTCTAAACCACGCCCCCTCCACCCGTCTAAACCACGCCCCCTCCACCCGTCTATACCACGCCCCCTCCACCCGTCTAAACCACGCCCCTCCACCCGTCTAAACCACGCCCCCTCCACCCGTCTAAACCACGCCCCCTCCACCCGTCTATACCACGCCCCCTCCACCCGTCTATACCACGCCCCCTCCACCCGTCTAAACCACGCCTTCCACCCGTCTAAACCACGGCCCCTCTACCCGTCTATACCACGCCCCTCCACCCGTCTAAACCACGGCCCCTCTACCCGTCTATACCACGCCCCTCCACCCGTCTAAACCACGCCCCCTCCACCCGTCTAAACCACGCCATTTCCACCCGTCTAAACCACGCCCACTCCACCCGTCTAAACCACGCCCTCTCCACCCGTCTATACCACGCCCCTCCACCTGTCTAAACCACGCCCCCTCCACCCGTCTAAACCACGCCCCCTCCACCCGTCTATACCACGCCCCCTCCCCCTCTCACCAGCTGGCTAGTGCCTCTACCCCACACCACCTGCCAGCCAGCTGACACAACAATAACAAGCCTGTCTCATCAACTCTCAATCACCACTCAACAATTAACCCATAAATGAATATTAGTTTATCATCAGCCCAACTCTAGTCAGAGATCATTCCCACATTTCATCATTGAAAATCGCCAGTCTTCTGACTAAAATAACTCTGTGGATATCGTTAAGTAATCTGTGGATATCGTTAAGTACTCTGTGGATATCGTTAAGTAATGTCATTTGTACTTCGTTCATTATTTTGTATTTTCATATTGACTACACGTGTGAATTATAATGTGATTATAATAATATATTTTATGACTGATATCACTTGTTTTTTTTATTTATTCCATTCTATTGTTTCTAAGATATATAACGGAATATTTTGTATTTTTAACTGTAAACGAGGATTTTTTGTTTGGTAAATGGCAACTTAATTTGGAAAGGTATGAATATGGATTAAGTATGCTATTCTTATATGTATATAAATACGTGTGAATGTCATTACCGTATACATAAGTATGAATGTCATTACCGTATATATAAGTATGAATGTCGTTATTATTATATATAAGTATGAATGTCATTATTATTATACATATATGTAAATTATCATATATATATAAGTTGAGTTGCACTTGACATGCATAAATGTATCCTACAAAATTCCGAATAATTTCTACAAATACACTTATATGTCCACTACAAGAGAACTTCAAAAGTGGGTCAAGCCTCTGTACTCCTCACAATACTCGTCAATACCCCTCACACACTGTACTCCTCACAATACTCGTCAATACCCCTCACACACTGTACTCCTCACAATACTCGTCAATACCCCTCACACACTGTACTCCTCACAATACTCGTCAATACCCCTCACACACTGTACTCCTCACAATACTCGTCAATACCCCTCACACACTGTACTCCTCACAATACTCGTCAATACCCCTCACACACTGTACTCCTCACAATACTCGTCAATACCCCTCACACACTGTACTCCTCACAATACTCGTCAATACCCCTCACACACTGTACTCCTCACAATACTCGTCAATACCCTCACACACTGTACTCCTCACAATACTCGTCAATACCCCTCACACACTGTACTCCTCACAATACTCGTCAATACCCCTCACACACTGTACTCCTCACAATACTCGTCAATACCCCTCACACACTGTACTCCTCACAATACTCGTCAATACCCCTCACACACTGTACTCCTCACAATACTCGTCAATACCCCTCACACACACAATCCGCACGACTGAGACCACAGCAGAACCCACTGCGACCCCTTCTAAACCCATGACCAATAAACACAATGGCAGAGCCGCTGACAAACTGTTATAGTGATTCGTTCAATGTTGAAAATAGTATTCGGTTATGCAGATAGTAAGTCGCGATAACAGGAAATCCGTATGTGAACCCAATCAGACAGAGAGAGAGAGAGACTTGTTCCCACCATACAAGATTTATTTTAGTTGTTAGAATGGGGTCATATGGTTAGGTTTCTCACGGTCAGGGATCGTAAGCCTGTTACATTTATCATGGTCCCTCTAGCCCCCAGGATACAACCCACAACAGTTGACTAACTCTCTGGTCCCTATTTACTGCTAGGCGAACAGAACATAACGTTAATGGAAATGCGCTCAAAAGTCTGCGGGAATCGAACTTGGGACCTTTATGGTTGTTATAACCAGCTGCGTTTACTACTGCGCTAACTACCCTGTGATCTGACCCCCGGGGACAATGGCACGATCACTACCAAAAGGTCTTGAAGACTTGCCACCACCAGGACTCATCAAATATTTACGCATCCACTCACGAAACCTGTACATCTATTACCAATCAAGAGGATTTGTTTACACATATTAATTAAACAGCTTATGAACTCCAAAGCACTACGAGGTTGTTCGTAACAACCTCGACGGTTGTTTAAAACAACAATAACCTTGTGTTCTGATGTTTACAAACTCGTAAATTGTAAACAATGCTGCCATTATTAGTGAAAGGTGCACACGTGCCGCAGGTGGTTACCTAAATGCTTGACGAAATACAACAATCGTGTTCTAGGATTAATGTTTACCTGAATTTACCCGAGAGCCACTAACTCTAGGGGGCTTGGGCCTGGGAGCCGGTCGGCCGAGCGGTCAGCACGCTGGACTTGTGATCCTGTGGTCCCGGGTTCGATCCCGGGCGCCGGTGAGAAACAATGGGCAGAGTTTCTTTCACCCTATGCCCCTGTTACTTACCAGTAAAATAGGTACCTGGGTGTTAGTCAGCTGTCACGGGCTGCTTCCTGGGGGTGGAGGCCTGGTCGAGGACCGGGCCGCGGGGATACTAAAAAGCCCCGAAATCATCTCAAGATAACCTCAAGATGCTTCAGTCTTCAGTAGACTTCCTGTTCAGTTTTACAACAGTGTGCTTGCTCTCAGTCTTTGGAAGGCCTATGCTCTTCGGGATTCAGAATCCTTGTTTTTAGTCTTACTTCAGTAAGTCTACTCTTCAGTCTAACATCAGAGAGTTACTCTCTAGTCTTCATAAGTCCCACTTGTTGAGTCTTAACTCATCAGTGTAAGCGTTTGAGAAAAATAAATAAATTCAAATTCAAAAATTCAAATTATTATTCAGGTAAAAGTACATACATTGATGAAGAGTTACAAATATAATGTTGGATTTATAGAAATAGCTAATACATACAATACCTAAAGCCACTAATACGCATAGCGTTTTGGGCAAAAATAATAAATAAACTATGACTATGTTCTCATGAATGAAAAGCGTCCAATGTATACGGTTTAATCTTCAAAATATTCGTACCTATGCAAATCTCTTGACTCACAATCTTGAAATGTGGGTTCGAATCCCGGGCGAGACAGAAATGGCTAGGCGCGTTTCCTATCACCTAATACCCCTGTCCACCTAGCAGTATCCTGGGAAGGGGTCTGTAGTTCGACCCCTGGGGTGATGAACCCCGATATAGGCCTAACATGTACTGTAAGTACAAATTGGCTGCCTGTTCCCCGACACAATAACTTATTAAACCATTATTATTAGAGAGAGGAAAGTTTGGCATAGTTATACCTTCATATACGGGTTTGCAGTTTTCTGTAAATTCCTTGCATCTCGTTTTCTGTGCATTTAACAAATTACTGTACAGAAGACAGTACATTTAAACAAGTATACAAGACACTAACAAAATTTCTACTGCTACTACTATAAATAATAATAATAATAATAATAATAATAATAATAATAATAATAATAATAATAATAATATTATTATTTGTATTATTAAAAAATATGTAATACCTTTCTCTGATAATATAATTAATCTATTTTTATAATCCCAGCTTCTTGATGAGTATGCAGAGTTTACCATCGTCTCGGACTATGTTCAGGGCAAAAGCATAGCTGCTGGTTGGTCAGTAAGCTATTGTGGTGACCTTATACCAACCTTCCACAGACTGATAGGCATTAAGCCCCAACACGTCCACTCTAAACCATTACCGGAGTAATTGGGGAGAGACTTAACCAAAGCATTAGTATATTGGAAGGTATAAGTGAACGAACCGGGCATGTTTTCGTAAAAATATTTCGTTCACTATTTTCGTTCGTTCGTTGAACATAAGCCTTATTCAATTTAACCCGTAATCAGTAAAGACTTAATTTTGGCCACTTACGTAAAGTCAAACTCATTTTGTTTAATTGTAAATAGAATTGTTTAATTGTAAATAAATACATTTATAAATTATAGTCACTTTATAATGTGTAATTGATCTATCAGTACTAATTCAACTTGCTATATCAAAGTCTAGATGAACCCGGCGCCAAGCGTATTCCTCTTGTAGGTTGAATCTGAGGAGAAGATCCTGTGTTCAGCTATGATTATAGATAATTATACCTATAGCAAGAGATCCCCTTGGACTGAGTATAGCATAAAGTTATTAAGGCTTCTTGCCTAGAATTGGCCCAGCTCACTGACAACTACCTCTTCTAGTATTCTTAAACGCAAGTGATAACTCTTGTTATCTATACTATCTAACTCTATCTAACTCTTGTTAATATACAAGTGACAGTTCTTCTAATACTCTTACGTTAGTGGCATCTCTTCTGATATTCTACGTCAGTGACAGCTTCTGAGTCTCTACGTCGTCAGTGACAGCTTCTGATTCTCTACAACGTCAGTGACAGCTTCTGAGTCTCTACGTCGTCAGTGACAGCTTCTGATTCTCTACAACGTCAGTGACAGCTTCTGATTCTCTACGTCGTCAGTGACAGCTTCTGAGTCTCTACGTCGTCAGTGACAGCTTCTGAGTCTCTACGTCGTCAGTGACAGCTTCTGATTCTCTACAACGTCAGTGACAGCTTCTGATTCTCTACGTCGTCAGTGACAGCTTCTAAGTCTCTACGTCGTCAGTGACAGCTTCTGATTCTCTATGTCGTCAATGACAGCTTCTGATTCTCTACGTCGTCAATGACAGCTTCTGATTCTCTACAACGTCAATGACAGCTTCTGATTCTCTACGTCGTCAGTGACAGCTTCTGATTCTCTACAACGTCAGTGACAGCTTCTGATTCTCTACAACGTCAGTGACAGCTTCTGATTCTCTACAACGTCAGTGACAGCTTCTGATTCTCTACGTCGTCAGTGACAGCTTCTGATTCTCTACGTCGTCAGTGACAGCTTCTGATTCTCTACGTCGTCAGTGACAGCTTCTGATTCTCTACGTCGTCAATGACAGCTTCTGATTCTCTACAACGTCAGTGACAGCTTCTGATTCTCTACGTCGTCAATGACAGCTTCTGATTCTCTACAACGTCAGTGACAGCTTCTGATTCTCTACAACGTCAGTGACAGCTTCTGATTCTCTACAACGTCAGTGACAGCTTCTGATTCTCTACAACGTCAGTGACAGCTTCTGATTCTCTACAACGTCAGTGACAGCTTCTGATTCTCTACAACGTCAGTGACAGCTTCTGATTCTCTACGTCGTCAATGACAGCTTCTGATTCTCTACAACGTCAGTGACAGCTTCTGATTCTCTACAACGTCAGTGACAGCTTCTGATTCTCTACAACGTCAGTGACAGCTTCTGATTCTCTACAACGTCAGTGACAGCTTCTGATTCTCTACAACGTCAGTGACAGCTTCTGATTCTCTACGTCGTCAGTGACAGCTTCTGATTCTCTACAACGTCAGTGACAGCTTCTGATTCTCTACGTCGTCAGTGGCAGCCAGCTCTTCTAATCTTTCCTTCACTTTCATGAGGGAGAAGGAATAATTTAGCCGACTGTCAGCAATTAGCCAA